CTTACTAATCTGGGGTGTTTCTGATTCTAATTTTCAACAGACTGTATTAAATTTCCGGAATAGAATCAATCTTCGCTTGGGTTGGGTAGACCGCAAAAACTTTTAGTCCTATTCAATCCAGATAGGTCAGTGACAAAAAAAAAAAAAAAAAAAAGTCCGCTGCTTCAATATTACAGATTTTGCGGAGAAACTCCCAACCTCCGTACTGTATAATGTATTGTGGCAAAGAAAATGAAATTATTTTGATTATTCGATTACTTTCCTTTTATTTAAGCCATTCCGAATATTCATTTTTGGAAGTTTATCTATACTTCAGCAGTTACTGCAACTATATTATTATAAATAGTCATACATATGCTCATAATATAAGCATAACGATCACATAAAAACGCGAATATGAACTGACCACGCGGAACGAGAATGCAAATTATTAAAATCTTGATAGAAATTCAAACGTGTGCAGTATTTGGGTGGGAGGAAAAGAATACCGAATGTACCGGAATTTTCTACCGTTTTCGCAAATCTTTGGCCAACAGAACGACGTGCACCTGTCTGTACTCTCGCGCGCACCATAGGTTACGTTAATGCAGAGGAAGGGAGGGAAAGAAATTTCCGGGAGTATGATTCACCATCTGACGTTGCATATAAGGAAGAAAAGTTGTTTATTTAGTTTCGGCTTTGGTACGGGGATAAAATGCGCGTTCATTAAAAACAAAGAATTAAAAAAAAGCACTAAAAGTAAAAAATAAGCACTAAAAACAAAAAATAAGGACTTTAAAGAAAAATTAAGCACCTATAAGGGCCTTTATATTTTATTTTCAAATATAAGGACTTATAAGCACTTGTAAGGACCGCTACGAACCCTGGTTTATGTTGAGAATCAATTTTGTTTTAAAGAATAAGTTCTTAATAAAAATTCTAAGGGGAAAGTAGATTAGCAGTCTATCTATTCTCAGTATTGTGGTGGCTTGGACGTGATGTTTAAAGATAATGTCAGTGAATCTGTTGATATTGATTTCATTATTTTAAGATTTTTATTAATATGGAAAATATTAAAACAGGAACACCTGTCAGAGCAAAGTTCACGAAGCATTACAACTCGTTAATAGCATTTTTAAAACGTGAGGAAATTGAAATGAAATTGTCTTCTTTACAGTGAATTGCTACAGATATGGCTGAATTGGATGATAAAATTTGTACTCCTTTAATACATGCCAAATCTGAAGATTCTGATGTTGATTGACAGTTGAAGAATATCGAGGAAAAATATGTCGCATTTGTACTAAACAATGTCATGATAAACTTTCAAATTTTTCTGAATGATTAGCAATGAATACAAGAGAAAAAACAATCTGTTCGGGTGGTTAATGAATTAGTGTCGGGTACTGGAGCTATAATACCTGCTTGTGTGTTTTGTGGCTAAACACATTATTGTCAAGACTGCTTTAAAGGCCAAAAAATATCTTTTGAGGAAAAAGAGGATATTTTAAAGAAAAATAAAGTCTGTATTTCATGTTTGAGAATCGGGTTTCATTCAAAAAAATTGTAAGACTACTCTTCAATGCATAATTAGTGAAAAGAAAGATCAGACTACAGCACTGAACTATGCCCTGAATTGTATAATGCTGGTAAGAGTATTGATCCAGAGACTTCTCACATTGATGAAAATGTAACGTTCTTAAACCAAAGCGGAACAGAAGTTCTACAAACTCTGTGTCCAGTGGAGCAAATGGGAAGAGAAGAGCTTTATTTGACACTCACAGAGGTCGTATATTCTTAAAATCTACCATGAACCAAATAGGGGCGAGTGCTCAACGAAGTAAAAATTGTTTGGGGGTATTAACTCTAGAAAGCAACATAAATACTACAAGGTACTGGTGAATTACTCTTATTAAATCTTAATTCTGGACCATCAGGTTACTTGTGGGCACATTCCTAGTGTTCAAGCAGGATCCTGGATGGTTCAATTATGGAATAAAGGCATCAGTCTTATTGATGTACGAAATGACTCACTACCTATAGAACTTTTAATTGGAGCTAACTATGCTGAAAGCCAGGAACGTTTTCCATATATCATCAGGTCTTGTTGGATTGTTATGGGGCACGATTAACAACTGCATTTCACCTCAACCACCAATCTTTGATAACCAGCATGGGAAAAAAATTGCATGTCATTTCAGAAAAACTCCGATTTTGTGTCAAAATACCTATATTAGACCAATGCAATATATAAATCCAATATACATCCTAAGTCGCGCTTTTGAGACATGAAAAACGAAATCTGAATTTCGCCAATCAGCCCAGTAGTCCAAAACTGTCCCCCCCCTTTTTTTTTTTTTTTTTTTTTTTTTTACAGTGTACCTTTATTGTTCTCGGTGAAGATTCCTAGATAGGTAACATTAGACGATGATGTATCATACAACCTACACTCTTTCACTGATGCCTTGAAGCAGTCATACGCAGCCGTAGTTCATTTGAAAAGCGAAAATAAGGAGCGAGTAAAAGTGCAGCTTTTTCCAGCCAAGTCCAGAGTAGCTCCGTTGAAGAAATGCACAATCCCCATATTTAAGTTCTATCCTGTTTTACTGGAGCTGGATTAGCTTAAATTAAGGGAAAAAATCGTAGAATCGAGATTTCGAAAGAATACTATTGGACTGATTCTTCAATAGCTCTCTATTATGATAATGAGACTTTCGTGAAACATTCGTAAAATATGAAAACTGAAGACTGACACCATGTTACAGAAGTTGTAAATCCATCAGATTTACCCTCTGGAGGATGTTTTGCCAACAAATTTATAGAATATACATGGGGGCAGGGGCCATGTTGGTTGGTATTGGTCAAATAAGTGGCTTAAATCCAATCAATTGATAAGTGGCTCAAATCCAACTGAAAATGAAAGAGAAAACGAAGGGCATTCTGGCTGGCTTAGGTGATTTATATACAGGGTTAATCTGAACAAGTGGGCAAAACTTTATGGGGTGATATAAGCCAGCTAGACGAGCAATATTCGTCACATAATGTATGGTCAGAACGGAAGCGGTGTGAAATTGATGGGTAGTTTTCCACTGTTACATTTAAAGAATTAACACAAGAATGAGAGGAGATACTTCCGAAAACAGTTTAACAAAACATGCTCATAGAAATTGCTCAAAAAACCTTCCGCCAGCTGTAATGCAGGCTTCACATCGGCAGGATAGGGACTGATGCACATTTACGAAGACATCAGATATTTCCCGAACATCGCTGGCAACAACAGCAATCCTGGCGACTAGATCCATATTCATTTCAATGGAGCACTCGTATTTAAGGCTTTTCATATGATCCCACATAAAAAAAAGTCCAAACACGAGAGATGCGGTGATCTTAGTGGCCAAGCTATGGGACCACCTTGACCAATCCATTGCCCTGAAAATTTCGTGGTTCGTATAACCAACAATCCACGGCTGAAAATGCCTTAGGGTGCGAGGACCAACCCTTTTTATACCATTTATTTACAATGTCACCTAGCGGTTCGCCGTTTGCATTTCGACTATACATTCTATGACAAATATTGCTCGTATAGCTGTCTTCTATCACACCCTAAAGCTTTACCCACTTGTTCAAATTCACCCTGTATATTCCGATAAAGATGGAAACACCAGAGTAAGTTAAGTGAGCTTATGGTGAGGTGGTACGACGCATTCAAAAAATATTCCCCCTTGAGAAATCTTCATCAGCTAAAGAGGATCCGATAGACGAAGGGAAACTTTCTTTGCCTGATCAATCTCTTCCTGTTTCGCCAATGAAATAAGAAAACTGTCGTGAAAAGAAATAGAAGGACCATTAAATTTCCTTCTAGATTTCTGAAATGAACTTTTAAACTGAATTATTATTTTGAACTCAGAACTTTATCGCATGTTTTGATTACTAATTGTATATTACTAATCAAAAGGTGGGAGGATTGTCACATAATTACTCCACCCTTAGGTAGCCATAAAGCATATCTGGCAACAAGTGTAAACGGCACAATTTTCTCGATACAACTGGTATCATTGTTTATGTTTAGAATTAATTTTGTTTTAAAAAGCAAGTTCATAATAAAAATTATAAGGAGAAAGTATATTAGCAATCTATCCATTCTCAATATTAATTACACCAAAATATTCATAACGTAAAAAAAAGAATATGTAAAAGATTAAATTAGCAGCGTAAATTAATTTCCCTTCTCTATTCTAAAAATAGTAACTTCTCTCTCTGCACTGCGTCATTTCGAGACTATTCTATGTCATATGACTCTTACGTAATTCTGATTATGTAAATGGAACTAAAGCTCAACCAGCCAATAATAATAATTTTACAGCAATATTAACTATCCAATCAAAATGCTTTGAGAACCAAAATTAACTCAGCTTGACTAAGATTTCGTCCTGAACATTACGCACTTGCTTTCTATGCTTTGGCCTGGCAGCACTGCAGTCTGTCTGCTCTTTCTTTCTTACTGCAAATTTATCTAAAATGTAAAATCTCTTGGAATAGGCACAATTAATGTGCCAACTTGATTGTTGCTGCAGCAAGTTTGCTAAAATAAAAAATGAAGATTTAAGTCTGCCTTCGCCTCCAATATCCTAGTCATTATGGATCAACACTTCTACATCATCCAAATTCCTGCTCCTGAATATATTACAATGATAAATTTTACGCAATTCTGCACTGTCATAGCAGTAAAATGTTTTTCTATATCTTCATTAATTAAATTTGTACTTTTTTAAAAATAATCTGTACATCATAGAAATGAAAACAGCATTACAATAATTTTAAATATCTTATAAAAGAGGAATTTCGTGACTACAAAATGGTATCACACTATCAAGTGAAAATTATGAGAAACATATTTATATTTTTAATGATCAGAAGGAAAGACCACTTGCAAATAACTATTCACCCATTTCAAATTCATGAATTAAAAAATTCTAATTTTGCAACTATACTTCATGCTTTGGTTAAAAATCTGAACTTACCGATTTTCTTCAGAAAGTTTTGGTTTTTCTTTTGATTCATTCATACATACTAACTCAGGAGGTTTTCCGAAATTATCTTTACTGTGTTCATTTTTTGAATTTTCGTCATCATCGGCAGTTCTGACTTCATTCTCTTCATTCAACTGAGAAATGGATGACTGTGTTGTTTGTGGTTCAAATTCACACGATTCTGAAATATTTTTTTCCAATTTTGGCAAATCTGACTGGATTTCGTTTCCTGTCCTATTTTTCTCATCATCAATAATCTTAACTAGAGGATTTTTCTTCTCATTTTCTGAATTCTTGGGTTCTTTTGAAGCAGATATCTTAAACTGCTTTTCATCCGCATCTATTTTACCGATTTTCTTACTGTTAGGACAGGAAATGTTTTCCACGTTTTTTGGATTGTTAGATGATAAAATACCTTTGAATGGTTCTTTGGCTACTTTGGAGAACTCAGCTGTAAAATTATCTTCAACTTTAATATCAGATAATTTCAATAATGTTGTAGCTTTAGTTTTTTTTAATGACACAAAAGGAGACTCGCGGTTATCGGTACGCCGTGTCAAACCTCTGTTAGTTGGATGTGTCATTAAAACACTAGTTTTTGAGCTGGAAGCAGAACTAGACGTGTCTTTGTTTTGAGACTTTCTCCCTTCTACAGACTTAGTTCTGCTGAAGGATTTTTCGCTGCTTTTAGAAACAGATATAGGTTCTCTGCTGTCTTTCAACAAAACAACCGAAGCTGGTAACTGATTTTTTGCAACATCTACACAATCAACAGAAGATGACTGTGAGGTATCATTACATTTTATATTTCCACGAGGACTTTTCTTTTTCGGTAAATCTTTAGAAGTATCTTTTAGTTTTTCATTATCTTTCTTTTCTCGAGACCGAAGATCATCTTTCTTAGAATTTCTGAAATTTTTGGTAAAAATTTTATCATCTTTGGCCGGCGTTTCCAATACCGGATGTTTGCCTTTAAGCCTTTGAGATTTTTTCCGGACTTCCGCTTCCTTGCCGGCCTCGCTTTCACGATCAGTCGAAGAATCAATGATGATGTCCACATCACTATTCATCACTTCCTCGACATCTTTAGTACTCCTGGTGGAATAGCGCCTTCTTACAACGGGTACCTTATTACATCTGCGTAGTTGCCTGCCTCGATCTACACGTCCAGGTAACTTTCGGAGAACCCGTCTTTCAGCTACTTTAGGAGCCTCGTTACTCACTTTCTTGGCACCCCTTTCAGATTTTGGGGGTTTGTTCACCAATTCTATCACCGCTTTGGGATGAACTGGAGAAACGCTGGTCCTTTTTCGGATGGCGGAAGCCCGTTCGGAGTTTTTTGCCGATTTATCCTTTATAATGCATGGTTTTAATACACTTTCAATGTCTTCAAAATCATTACAATCCAAAGAATACCTCTGACAAAACTGAAACAGCAGTTCTTTCACTTTATGAACATCAACTTGCATGAGGTCTGGATTATCAGCTATACTTGTATCATTAATTTGGCAGACCCGTTCCAGAAGATCTCCCATAACTTGCTTTGCTGCCTCATCTGGGCTCTGGCTGTATGCTCCCATCCGTTTCCAATTTTCAATCTCTTCTCTACCAGGATATAAAAGCTCTTCTTTAGCAACGATTGGCTTCGTTCGCTTTTTATAACGCCTACATTTTACACTTAAAACAATGCTATCTTGCACTTTCGCATACACTGATAAAGGAGACACTTTCTTACTAGTGGGCGTGGACTTTTTCTCAAAACGATCAAAACAAGTGGCTCCAGGACTACGTTTTCGAGGCACAGGTTTAGGATGGTCTTGCTGCTGTGTACTATTTTTGCTGCTGGTTCCTGTGGAATTATCTTTAAAAGGTAATATTCCACGATTTTGTGAATCCAAATCTTCTGTATTGTAATCATCGATAGGTTCCTGTTTTATCTGTACATCACTAAATGAGAAAGAATTTGGAGTCCATTTGGAATCACTTTTGAAAGACAACAATCGAGGAGTTTTCTTGCGATTATCTGATCCTGGAAAGTTTCCTTCGGGATTAATATTTGGCATTGAAAGTTTGCGTTTCTTTGTCTGACTTTTTGAATCATTTGGTGAAGAAGCATAAAGGTGCATGTCATCAAATGAAGGTCTATCGTATCTGAAATAAATGAAAAATGTTGTAATAAAATTACAGTAAAGTACTAGTTATAATAATCACAATTGTTTTGCTTTAATTTTAAAAACCGTTCATTATTTTATATTAGATAAAACTAAATTTCACACAATTAAAAATAAAATATACGATTTTATTTTTCTTTCTTAAACATTTTAAAATTTATTACTGTTTTAAAAGTTGCTGCTTTAATATTTCCGAAATTTCCACTTAAAATATAAAAAGTACTTGACTTAATTCAAGAAAGTAGCAGTAATAGCGAAAAGAGATCACCGGATGAGAAAACGTTCAATGAGGATCATTACATATTTCAGTTAACGAATTCTTCGTCTATTTGCTAAAAATATTTAACATTAAAACTCGCTATAATCGCAAGCAAAAAAAGTGAATATTTTTCCAAAAGCTAAATTAATACTTTTCAGTGGATTTTTATCTAAATAAAAATGTTTCTGATAAAATGTACTGAATAGTTTCAAAGTTTTTTATACATTTATTTGTGGAAATCAGACTACACGATCATACACCCTATAAATCATAAAATACAGGGTGTCTATAATTAAAGAACCCTATTTCAGAGCTGCCTATATGCGAAACTAGTAATCAGAAAACTGTGAAACTTTGTGACTGACTGAATGAACAAATGAGAATGTCTTTCAGAGAGGAAAAGATAGTTACAAATAGCGTCACCAGAGGGCGTTTTACGTTGAAAACCTGCAGTAAAAATGTAAATCTTTGCGACGTCATGCAGCAATTGTTATAAAACCTAAAAACATTCGCGGAGACTTTGTTTTCAATGTGCTTGTTGTTCACAATGACGATAAGTTTCCGAGATCGCGCTTTGTTAGTAAGATTGTTTTATTAAAACAGCCGGCACTTTCGTTAATGTGTGGCCTCCCCGATCTCCATACCTTAAATCCATGCAATTTTTGACTTAGGGGACATTTGAAACATATGGTAAAGTCGTAACAATCCGAGACTTTACTTGATTTTAAAGCCAGTATTTCACGCCACGTGTTGAAAATTTCCCAGCACACACTTCAGTCAACTGTGAAACATGACATTCTTCGATTTCAGATGATAGCTAAAAATGATTGGAATCTTGCGGAACATTTTTTTTTGGGGGGGGGACAAAATTTGTAAAATTGTAGATCTATTGCAAAGGTGTAGCTAAATGTATAATTTATTCATACAATGCGCCCCCTACTGATGCTATTTGTAACTAATTTTTTTCCTCTGAAAGACATCTTCATTTTTTCATTAAATAGGACTCTTTAATTATAGACACCCTGTATTGTGTTATATGGGCAGTTCTTTGACTGGTTCAGTTCTACAGCAATGTATCTATACTAGTTGAAACATATTCTAAAAACTGCATTTGAAAAGGGAAGAATAAAGTGATCAGCAAAATATTCAAATTTATAAAAGTGGTACCCACTTGAAAAAAGTTTGAGAAACGCTGTATTAAATGAAAGTGAAATGCTTAAAACGGAAATTTTTTAGTTCAAAATAGCCTGAATTTGCAAAATAATAGTTAAAAAAGAGTAAAAAGTGCTTTATTATAAAAATGTTTATGTTAATGCTTTATGAAATGACCAGAGGTTTAAGCCATTTATAGAGAAATAGATTTTTTACGACCATCTGCTAGAGTTACTTTATGATATTTAAATAAAAGGTATGTCCTCTTTTCCTGGCAGAAATTTGAAGAATTTGGAAAATGTTGGAAGAATAAAATGAGTATGATATCTATAACAGATTGGCGAAAATATGGTTGAGAAGTGGTAGTTCTGCATCTAGATATCAATATAGAGGATGTAGAAGTGTTAATGGATCACAAAGAAGGAATTCTAATTGATACCCTCCTGATTAGTTTCCAAAACTGAAATAATTTTACAACTCAGAAGTTATGAGGAAGGTAAGGAAGAGAAACTGCCAAAACAATTTACTATATAAGAATTTTTGAAGCATCTTATAAAATAGATCAAGGACTTCAGCTACTCGAAAATGTGGATCAAAGAACTGATCGAAATATATAAAGGGGCGAGACAGCAATAACGAAGGAATCACAATTACTCTCCTGTTGTTTTTAGTTAAAAACATCGTTTATATATTTTTGTGTTCTTCTTCATATCAATAAATTTAAAGTAAATGTTAAATTTACTATAAAATATGTAGTGCGTATGTGCATACATGCAAATAAACTCTTTATAAATGATATGTAAATTTATACATTTGTACGCTTATTTTATGTTAAACAAAATCCTACTTTACAAAAATACTATTAATCAAAAATAAAGTAAGTTTCCCAACTTACATTCGAATCAACTTAAGACAGAAACAGTAAAATAGCCCTTCTTGTAAGTTGAGGACTACCTATATAAAATTATTTTAACGTTGATCACGTAAATTAGTTTTCACCCGATCTTTATCTTAGAATGCCTGCTTCCCTCTCCAACAACATACCAATTGTAGTGACGAAGAGAAGGAAGAAAGACAGTCAGTAACACGATTTCTGTAGCCACTTCCGGAAAGCCTGAAGTGGGAAAGGTTGAAATGGGACATCACGGATAAGCATGCAAAATAGCTTAACTATTAAAGCTGCAGTGAGAAGAGAAAGAGGACTTAACACCAAGAGTGGAGCATCCATTCCCTGGCTTCCTTCTTTGAGCTGCCTTACATGTTAATAGCTCTCAACACTCAGAGATTGTACGGAAGGGAGTCACACCCACCAATCAGCCCGCGGGGACTTCTCATGTTCATAGCCACCATCCATCGCCGAGGACTGAGCGGGGAGCCAGCCTCCCTCGTACAGCCCTTACATATCTACATGAGAGCGTCCCCACAACCATGACAATGGACACGATAGCACCAGTACGGTCCCCGCCAAGCCCGCGCCCACCACCGTATAAACATTGGTGCTAGTCAGCGTTAAGACTGATTATTTACCCAAGGAACCGAAGCTGTCAGGACATAAGTCCAGCCAGTGGTAGAACAGTAGTTCTTAACATTTATTCCTGTATATCCACTTCTCACCATAAGACAAACTTTTATTCTGCCCCCCCCCGTCGACCGCCAACTGAAATATTCTTGTTAAGAATTCAAATATTTTCAGTTTAGCATGTTTTAAAGCTTCACATAAAATTATATTTAAAACTTATGTATATGTTTATCAATATGTCAATTGTTATATTTAAACAAATGTAAATAAAGAAAGGTCTCTATTGATTTCTCTCCACTTAACGCCACATTAAATTGATTTTCTTCAGAAGTTTTGGTCACGCAATTTCAACAACTGTCTTAGTTGCTTTTAATACCCATTCTGAGATCTGTGAATTTCCTTTCCCAAGATCGTGAAACTCCTCTCCCCCAACCAGTTGAGGGCCCCTGTGATTGATTGATGTTGCTTTATTTAAAAATGACAGTTTAAATAAAATTTCGTTTGTCTCAGTAGTTATGCGAAGCCCTACCGCTTGCTGATGAGTTGTAATTTGAGCAATTAGACGGCAAAAGATTCAAAGTCTTGAGCAGATGTCTTCATAGAGGACTCACTAATATAAAGTGAGAAAAAACAATCCGTATTTGGTTTCCCAAAACTAACTGCAAAGACGCCCTCAGGTTCCTTAGTTTGACTAGTTGAATTTATTTATAAATGATTTCGAAGCCTGTTTATATTGCACCTAGATCTATCGAGAGCTACGAAACAGCCCCATGATTAAAAGGGCTCTCTCTTTCCCCTTTATTTACCACCTTTTTTAACTTCATTAATGCATTTTAGGTCTTGAGAAAAATATCATAACTCCAGCTAAGCTTCCTAAGAATTTAGGTTCTCCGTTTCAAACGTGCATGGCATTCGCTCTCTATGGATCTGATTAAACAAACTACTGCTGACTACTAGCAGTAGTATATTTAATCAGATACTAATAGAGATGGTTAATAGAGATATTTTTTTCAAGTTTCTGCGAACTCTCCCCTCCCAAAAGAAGGCCTTAAAATAAATTTTTAGTTGTTTCTAATTCTAACTGATAATTTTTAGTGAATTAGTCAAACACTGATAAAGTCAGTCGTTACCGTAAAAGCTAATCATAATCATGCACAGAAAGCTGCGGTACTAAAACCGGATAATATAACCAGACATTTACAACAATAAGTACAAGGGGTGATCAAATGAAAAGGTACGAAACGACACGGTTGGTACAAATGCAGACTTATTCAAAATATACACCATAGGCCTGAGCACAACGATCCCACTGATGAACAAGCCGCAGGATTTCTTGTTCCCAGAATTCCTGGTGCCTTGACGAGACCCAGTCCTTCACAGCGTCATTGAGTACGTCGTCCGAGTTGGAGCGCTTCCCTTTCAGGTGTTTCTTCAGTGGACCAAACACATGGAAATCGCAGGGCGACATGTCCGGACTGTAGGGCGGATGGTCCAACGTCTCCCACTTGGAACTCGGCCAGTTCTATGTGTGTGACTCTGGAGACGTGTGGACGCGCGTTATCATGGAACAGAACCACACCCTCCGTGAGCAGCCCCGGTCTTTTGTTCTTGATGGACTTGCGTAGACGTCTGAGTGTCTCACAGTACACAGCGGAGTTAATGGTTTTTCCGTGCTCGAGGAATTCCACAAGTAGCGGACCTTGAACGTCGAAAAAGGACGGTAAACACCTTGCCTGCTGACGGCACGGCTTTGAACATTTTAGGGGAAGGTGACGACGCATGCTTCCACTGCATGCTGTCCCGTTTTGGCTCGTAGTGATGGCACCAGGTCTCATCACCTGTGACGATACGCTCCATGAAAGAGGGGGTCTTCCTGATACCGAAACAGATGTTGCCCCATACGCAGTTCCTTTTGCTGGTCGGTGAGCTGCTTCGGAACCCAAGCGGCACACCTTTCGATATCGCAACCTGTCGTGAACAATTGTCCACACGGTTCCATGGCTGACATCCACCTTCACGGCCAACATTCGCAATGTGACACGCCGATCACTTCTCACTAGGTCGTCCACTTTGTCGATGAGATTGCTCGTGATGACAGTGTTTGCCTGGCCTGGTCTCGGGTCATAACCCACACTCATGGCCTGCACGAAAACGGGCACTCCATTTTCTGACAGACTTGTCAGACACACATTTCTTCCCGTGAACTGTCACCATCCGGCGATGAATAGCTACCGGTTTCTCACTTTCCTCAGGCAGAAATCGGATAACACCTCGCTGCTCGCCAGTCGTCGAATTTTGTAACGCAAACGCCATCCTGTCCTCATACGGACCGCCGCATCATTTGGACGCCGATTTTGACAAGAGCCTCTGCTCTCTCCTGCGCATGCTCCGATCCCAGTCAGAGGCTCCAATCGTATCCCGAGATGTCTCGCTACGTTCTCCCATGGCAGAATATGCAAATATTTAACTGTTACGTTTTTACGTCTGTTCGTACCTTTTCATTTGATCACCCCTTGTACATTTTTATCTTTTACAAGCGAAATATAGTTTAAAACGAAAGCCCATACCTAAATGCATTTGTTCTTTCTCCTTCAGATCTTAGTTCTTCTACTACACTGGTTGTTGGCTCATTTCTGCTTTCATAAAAGCCAAAGTTACTTCGCTCGTTTTGGTAACTAGAAGAATACTGAGGAAGTGAAGTACCCAATCTTTGGTAACCAGTATCTTCCACTGAAGTGGCTCCAGAAACTGGGTTACAAACCATAACATCAGCTCCATACGATTTATTGTCATCTGCAAAAGCATTTTCAGCATCTTGGGAATAAAGAGATGTCAGACTTTTTGTAAAAAGAGAAGTGAAGTTTTCACCATCAACTTCTAGTGAGGTTTCTCTATCTGGATCTGGTTCAGATTTGATCTGTGGGGCAAAAGAAACAGTAATCAATTATTTATTGTTAAATTCGAAAGTAAATGAAAAGTTTAGGTTTGTACTATATTAGTTACATGTTCCATATATTACGAATGATTATAATTATCCACATAATACTCGAGATTCTAGTGTTTTGACATTTTTTGGAAGAAATATTTTCATACACTAATGTATGATATAAAAATATTATTTTTGACAACACACAACTTACAATGAAGATGTGTGTAACAGATAAAGATCAAGCAGACCAAAGTATAAACAAAGTAATTTCATAAGCTGTAAAACAATATTCACTAAAATGTTAATCACCTAGTTTAACAGATTATGATTTGACAGAGAATTATTATCCACACAAAAAACCACTAGTCAAAACAGAAGAGATCATTTTATTAATTTTCACTACATTTAGTTCACTATAGATATGCTTGTTTTTTATAGTTATTTAAATGTATGAAGTAGTATTAAAAGACAGAAAGGTGTGGTGTGGTGTGGTGTATTTAATTACGGCAAAGCACACTAGGGCTATCTGCCTAAGGGGAGGGATGCCTTCGTGGAGGACTTTCTAAGGGAAACTGGCTCGTATACACGTTACACATGGGGAAAACCACGAAAACCACCCATGCAGCCAGCCCGTTCGCGGGATTCGAACCTCGGACGAACTACCAGTGTTCAACGACTTTACCGCTCGACCGCTGGTGGGCCCAAAAGACAGAAAGAAAAACTGTTTTTACATTTAATGAGAAACAGTTTTTTCAATAGTGCAGCTATTTTTTGATTGAAAAAATAATGACCATAAAATTATCAAAATTACTGTTTGATTCTAAAACACTGTACTTTGATTCTTTTCGAAATTAATGTATATACCATGCAATTGCTCACAGTCAATACAAAGCATTCGTTCTAGAATTTAAGCTAAATTAGCATTCTGAGGTTAATTCATTCATTTCTGTAGCCTCTATTATCATGGTTTGTGCATTTTGCGATGTATTATGGGCAATGATATGGAAGACTTTTGTTTTTAAATTAGTAGCGTGGCTTTTGGATAATAAATACTTACATTTATTTTTAGATATAAAATTCTACTTTTGAGTTCTCGCCATAATTGCTGGCTGATTTGTAAGCAACAAGTGCGCCTTCTGTTCAACTTACTTGACAGAATGAATTTTAAATGAAATGGTCTTTTATGCCCTTCTTACATTTCTGCATTTTCATATTTGATACAGCAGTAAGTCGTTTACAGTATTATTGAGGATTTCTCACTAATTACATTCAGTAAAAAGCACATTCTTTATAATGTACACTGCTAAAAAAAAAAAAAAAAAAAAAAAAAAAAAAAAAAAAAAAGACAGTTCTATATTTTTCCCGTTCTACTGAGCCAAATCACGAAATTCAAATTGCGTTCTTCATGTCTCGAAAGCACGACTTAGGATATATATTAGATTTATATACATCAGCTATTGTATCAATTCAGACATTTTGACACAAAATCAGACTTTTTCCTGTAATGACATGCCAATTTTTTTACATATTTCGATTCTAAGACTCAAATTATGCCTAAACATTAAATTTTGCAATATTTGATACGAAATTTACGGAGGAATTCAAACAATTTATGCTTGGCGCATTTTTGTTCAGTTTGCGCCAAGAAAAATTTTCAGTTTGCACTTGGCGAAAAACTTCTTAATATACGGCAACCTATTTTCCTTTCCCATTTTTACATTGTGGTTGAGAGGAAAAATAGACTCAATCTTTGATAATACTTTCAAATAGTCCTTTATTATCAATAGTGCTTATATCGCATAATTGGTGTTATTATCGCTTTCAACAAATATACTTTTTAGAATTTCATTTTACTTGTTTTACGCTGGCATAGTTTCTTTCGAAAAACTGTTTTAAAAAATTTCTATTTACTCATTTGAACTGCGTAGTTTAAAAAATCAAAGGTGCCATCGTTTATTATTTATTTTTTTAAATACTTTTCTTATACTATATTTTTAGTTATTACTATTTTAGGTAATTTTTAATTTTTAGACTTTTATTTTAATTTTTAGTGTTGCATTGTCTCTTCAGATAATTATTTTAAAATTTTCTACTTATTCATTCGAACCGAGCATTTTAAATATATTTATTAATATAAATTTTCCAGAATTTGATTTTATTTATCTGAATTGCGTTTCTTTCGGAAGAATACTTTGTAACCCAGACTACAAGCATTTGAAAACTGCATATATTAAAAGCGAAAATACAGTAAAGCACACTTAACACGCCTTTCAATGTTCCGTTCAGAAAAGATATACAAATAAGAGAAATGTATAACCGACATTTTAACTTAAGATGACTTGCATACACTGCTTTAAACAGTTTTTCTTCAGGCATTCTGCTTTATTCTTATTCTTTTTCTTCAGGCATTCTGCAAGTATATTAAAAAGTATCCAACTTTTCGAAACATCTTGGTATTTCTGACAATCATTTTAAATAAAGTTATCGCTTTCCATTTCATAAAGCCCCACAAACGGCCTAGCGGTAAAGTCGCTGAACACTGGTAGTTCACGCCGGGGTTCGAATACCGGTAAACGGGCTGGTTGCATGGGCGTTTTCGTGGATTTTTCTCATGTGTAACGTGTATGCCAGGTGGTTTCTCTTAGAAAGTTCTTCACGAAGGCATCCTTCATTTAATAGAAATAGATTATAGAATTCACGCTGATGCAACTTTTTGTCTAAATGCACGACATGTAATGGAGGAGAAGGCTTGTAGAGATCTGTTTTTGACATGCCTCTAAAAGTAGATGGCCCACAAGCGACAGAGCGGTAAAGACACTGAACACTGGTAGTTCGGTCCGAGGTTCGAATCCCGCGAACGGGCTGGCTGCATGGGCGTTTTCGTGGTTTTCCCCATGTGTAACGTGTATACGAGCCAGTTTTCCTTAGAAAGTCCTCCACGAAGGCATCTCTCTCTTTAGGCAGATAGCCCTCGTGTGCTTTGCCGTAATTGATTAATCCAATCCAATCCAATCCTAAAAGTAGATGTCGTACTCCTTTTGTCTCTTCAATGTCAAAAAACTTTCCTTTGAGAGGCAACTTTAGTTTTGGGGAGAGAAAAAAAATCACAAGAAGACAAACTTGTAGAACATGCAGGACGATTGAGTACATATACTTATTTTCGGTACACAAGCGGTTCTCCGATTAGTTATTGAATAATGAAAAGATGCATTGTCATGCGATACAAAACATTTGGAATATGTTTTCTAACTGAATAACGTAAGATTAAAAGTCATCTGCTTAATTCACAGCCATTTACAGAATCGTTTTGATCCTCAGCTTGTAAGACAAAATATCACTGGATTTAAACACTTCTTTAATCTTCCGAGAATATTCCTTCTTTAGCTCATATTCCAAGAATATTAAGTGAATACAATTATTGCAAAAAAAATTGAATATTCATTTGCACTATGGCTTGGTAGTTTACTAACGAGTTAACAAAACTTAAATTCTGCTTTTTGTGTCTAAAAATACAACAATATCTTAAATATTTACAAATAAAAATTAAATTGGAGATTTAATTGGAGCCTCATCAGTTGCCTAGCATTTGAAGATTGTAAATACTAATTGTTTGTTGCGAAGTCTAACCCAGGCTTGCATGGTTTGGTTTTCGTAGTTTCTAGGTTTTCTTACAAAGGTTCTCTATGAAAGCATCTTAAACCAAATAGCTCCCATGTTCTTTCTATGTTCAAATAACCAAGCGATTTCCAAGTGAAGTTACTAGCAAAAAAACCCGAATACTCATTAAAAATCATGTAGCTTGCCAATCGGGAGTACATGAAAGATACGGCGCCAATAATTGAATTGCTGTTACGGTACGCTGCTGCTAAACTTAGATTGTCATTCCTTATTAAATAATTGATTTGTAACTTCTACTAGAGCTGACGGTAAGGACTGAAGTGCAAATAAATAATATTGTCTGCAATCTTAATTAATATAAAATTAGAAATATTTGCATAGAAAAATATTTGCATTCAGACAGAAAGTTTTTTGAAATATTTGCAATTACTTTATATGAAGGATTTATTAATAACTGTAATAATTACTTATTATATTACTGATAACTAGAATTCAGTTCTTGACAATTACATTCTAAATTAGAATTTTAAGGATATAATGGATTGAATTGGATTGGATTATTCAGTTATGGCAAAGCACACGAGGTTTATCTGCCTAAAGGGAGGAATGCCTTCGTGGAGGACTTTCTAAGGGAAACTGGCTCGTATACACGTTACACGTGGGAAAAACCACGAAAGCACCCATGCAGCCAGCCCGTTTGCGGGATTCGAACCTCGGACCGAACTACCAGTGTTCAGCGTCTTTACCGCTTGGCCGATGGTGGGCTTAAGGATATAATGAAAATACGCTACGCATAAAAATGCATTTTAGGATAAAAAAAAATTAGTCGGTTTTTATGTTTAAAAATTTCTTAAATTTATTTAATAAACATCGTACCCTCCTCGTTAGTAATTGAATCCAGAATGTTGGGTGTCATTTATATAATTATTCTTATTTGTCCACAGAACCTGCTGACTTATCCGAGACATTAAGTAGCTGCAGATCATTTCTATATAACCATTGAATTACTATAACCATTAATTCGGTCTCTAAGAGGGTTGTATGTTTATATCATAATTTGACTTTTATAAGAATGATTATTCTAAATCTTATCTTTCTATAAATATATACTGTGCTTTAAAAATATGGATAATAGTATCAGCCACTCTTTCAGCCACTTCATAAGCAACAGCTTGTTTAGAAATAAATTATGCAGTTAATGCCATAAAAATATTTTCATAAAATTCAAATAAACATCAAACGAAGTCCTCAGTTTTAGACAATTCGATTTAAACGAAGTTAAAATAAAGTAGCAGATGATAAAACGCCGAAAAAAAAAATTTACTCTTACAAATATTTTTTTTTTAAAGGAAAAAAGAGAATTTTAAAAAATAGTTAAAAATTTGAATATCATCTATAATTTTTTAAAAAATAGCTTTTCATATAGTATTAATAAATATTTATTACGCATGATTGAGGGATAAAATTTCATATGATTAATTCTCCGTATAATTTTAGTTGAAATTCAAGGTTAAAAATAGCTGTGGCAATTCACTGTAACAAAAATCCATAAACCACATTTGCCGTTATTATCGCTCAAAAAAAAATGCCAAATTTCAAAACGCGAAAATATGTAAATTCGTGTATATCTTAAGAAAATTTTGAATAAAAAAGTCTAATTTTTTGAAGGTATGCTTAGAAATACACCTACTTTAAGATGATAGTAAAATGTTTATAGGTTATAATTCAAAATGTTTTTCGAAAAATTTATAAAAATTATTTAAAAATAGAAATTAAAAAAATAAAACACAAAAAATGGGTAATTTTTATTTGGAATGAACCTTAATTTCGAAATGTGAAAGGAAAAATCAAAAAGGTTTAATAAAAAAAGAGATATTAATAAATATTTGCCAAATTCAATTAACATTGAGGAGCTAAAATTTTGAGAGCTAATATTTTAAAAACTACTCGTACGACTTTTACAAAACGTGGCATTCTGGCATAATTTGAACCGTAGAATCGAAATATGGAAAAAAATTGGTATGTTATTTCAGAAAAAGTCCGATTTTGTGTCAAAATTCCTATGTTAGATAAGTGCTATATATAAATCTAATATATATCATAAGTCGCACTTTCGAGACATGAAAAACGCAGTTTGAATTTTGTCATTCGGCCCAGTAGAACGGATATAGCACTGTCCCATTTTTTTTTTTTTTTTTTTTTTTTTTAAAGCAGTCTACATGCATACATTGTTGAGTAGCAATCGAAAGTATCATCACTTAGATATCTATCGAGACTTTCAAGCATACGTCACAAATTATTCTGACCTTCTTTTTTGAAGATCCTAATTGGAAATAATATTCATTTTTACAGGTTTATAACAAAAGGAAATAAAAATCATTTCTATGAAAGTTACTTTAAGATACAAAACAGATTGTAAATTCTAAGTTATATTGCATTCAGTACTACAGGATATACAGAGGCACACTGGCAAGCGAACAACCCAGACTGATTGCATAACATCGATGATGGAAGTCTCAGACTTGGACGTCCAATAGTCATAGTTTATCCTAACTCTTGGCTTAGAAATCAGATGTAGCGCTCCATGAAACTTACTTCTCTTCTTCGTTCACAAAAATTAAACATAAGAAAGGGCACGATTTGATAGTAATTTAATTAAAGAGCTATGCCGAATACAATGACAAAGGATGATTGTCCAAGAAGCGCAAGGATCAGTGTTTTCCCCACCTTGGAATTATTTCAAAAGTGATGGTAAATAAGATGCGGTAACATAATACTTTTCGATGCAGTCTTTACATATTTAAACAATTTACAGAACAAAACAAATTATCCAGATTACCTGCATTCTAAGCATGGCATCCATGCCATAGCGAGTCTGCCTCCGCTGGTAATCGGAGGGAGCTTGCTTGGCCGGAGGACAATTGGACGGATTTCTATTGCCGTTGTAAGCGTCACACGTCCGCATTGCATTCGCAGACTGATAATGGTACGGAGTTGCCTGATAACTGCTCACGATCTGATCATAGTTATTGTACCCACCACCATAAAAATCACTGTTTTCATAGTAGGAGGACGACGAGGCACTTGGGGAATTAGACGAGGACTGCATTACTCCATAACTCGAACTGCTGGCTGGTAGATTGCCTCCGGATTGATATGAGGTCGTGCTCCTATATTTGTAAAAGCCACTTCCTCCTCCTGAGGAGTCTAGTTTGGTTGCAATCGGTGTCCAGTCCCCTTCCCAGGAAGTGTTGCTGTTCTCCAATGTACCACTCTGCCAGTCTTGGTTTAGGTTGTAGTCTGGATGCTGCGAGAAATAACAAATTTAGAACATTTAAAAAGAAGGAGTAGCATGGAACTTTCAAACGAAATTAAACATGGAACTTTCAAATTCATTTATTTTACTGGTTAACTTAACTTTCAGAGCAACAAGTCTTTTAATAACACTGTAGGATTTCCTACTATGTAATTCTAAGTTACTGTTGGAAGTGAAGAATCTTAAGAACTGATAAGCGAATAATCGCTTGAGTTCGTGTGACAGGAAACAACAGGCTAGAAGGGTAAAATAACCCTTTTTTATTCCAATTAAAGTTTAACAAAACTCCGCCTTGGAGTTGTACAATAAAGCCGACACTTGTGCTTGAACTTCAGAGACTAAGAATTAAACTAAACTAATCTTAATTAAAAGAGATATAGCCGAAGCTATCAAGATTCTAACACAGTTGGCTCCTTAACGCTAATTGACTGCGAAGCTATTAAGGGCCTAAAGTACGGCCCAGCATAATAATAGCTTACGGGAGAGTAGCCTACAAAGGCGGACGCGTGCAGCCAGAATATCTGGTATCTCTCTCGTAGAATTTCGCGGTTATATACCGCTCTTCCTCATTAGAATTCAGACGTGCTTTTAAAACTACGTTCTGGCCGGAAGTGGTAAGTTGAAATTAAGAATCGATAGGAAAGGAAGTTTAACTCAAAATTTAACTGTTAATAAAATTAACATAATCCTTACAACACATTTTCAAAACTTAATAATTACTTTAATTGCGTAGCATTTAAATTATTTTTAGATCTTTTAGTTAAACTAATGGCATATTTGTAAGCTCTTTTATATTTATTTCCAAATATTTCAGTTAGTTCTTAAATTCAATTTATTTCATTTAAGAAAATGTATACTTTTAAAACAATTTTCTAACCTATAACAAACTGTAAAATATTTTACGTTAATTCATCAATTATGATTTAAAGCTTTACCTTCCGTATCGATTTATAAAGCTTCAACTTCTTCTTTCCACAGTTCTCACCAGAATGCAAATAAGTTGTGTGAGTATTTAAGTTGCGGGTTTTGAATGATTCAAATTCACAGCCTTTGACAGCCTCACCTACAGCTGCGTCCTATCGCCAGCTCTGCCGGAGATTATTTCGGCTTTTGTCATTTTGCTAGCCGAAATAAAAAAATGCGCCGTTAACGTATTTCAGCCAACTTAACTAGAGTAATCTCCGCTTACATTACCTGAATTTGAATTTCAACTTATGTCATTGGAAATACCTGCAAGCGGTTATGTTTTAGTTGCAAGCACAAGTGAGGCTAGGACTTCTGTTAAAGATTTTTTTTTTCGCTTTGAAGAACACTGGTTTAAACTTCTACACAATTATAATCCTACAAAAGCAGTAAGCTCTTTTAAATTCACTTGCGACTATTTTACTTATTTCATAAATTCATTTCAATTCATATTAACAAGTTCACATTTTAAAACAAATTTCAGATTAATATATATCTGAAAATTCTCTTAAATTCATTTTCGACTCAACATTTTAAAAATTCATTTTACTTTCTTTTCAAAATTTTTAGCTTCGAAAACATTTTTCTACCTTTGTATACATTGTCACACATGTTTTTAATTTCCACCTAAATACATACATATTCTTACGGTCTTTTAAATGCTTATCATTTTTGATTCCTAACTTTTACACGCAATTCGCATTTTTGTTTTATTTTAGGTCACCTGTTCAACTAAAAACAATAATAGAAATATAAAGTCTCCAGAAAACTCAACCTTTTGTTTTCACAACCGTTAATCATAACATATACTTTCTGTTACAAAAATATTTCAAATGGAGCAAATATTAATGCTGTGTTATTTTTACTCGTAAATTAAGGAAAAAGATCCATTTTATGAATGTTATGAGTTTTTATACGCTTCCCTCGTTCCAAAATCTACATAGGAATAATATTATTATAAAAATAAATCACAAAAGTTTGACTGACCTAATAAGTTTCTTCAAAGAATATATTCGATTTTAAAATTTGCGATTTTAGACGTCATTTTTAATTTGTATTGAAGAAGCTGGTTAATAAATAAAGCAGAATTATTCAAGTTTGATTTTTGGCCTTTAAATCTTATTCAATGACATTCTTTTGAGCTTCATTAGTGTCTTTAATTTGTAATTTTGTGATATTTGATACGCTGAAAGAATTTTCATGCAAGTAATTTAGAAGTTTAAAACTATTTTATTAATATTTTCATGAAGTTTTATTACTTCAGAATCACAATCTGGTAACCATATAAAAATTCATTAAACTACAAATAGTTTTAATTTTTAATTAATGCAAGTAACATTACGAGTTTGCTTCGTGCCAATGATGAAATCTGCAAGTATTTTTTAACAACACGGAGTCTATAAGATTCTGTGAATAGTATCTCCACTGCGAAAATATATTGATTAATGCTGTTCACAGTAATCTGCACAGAAATTATTTAATCTCTTTAACGTCAGAAACATTTTTTCAAACGAATATTTTATTTTTAGTAACATACAAATTCAAACATTTGGATAATCTCAGATCTCCCCCGTCGTGCGGGACTCACACTTCTAAACACCCTGCACCCTACAAAAATAAATAAATAAATAAATAAATAAATAAAAATAAAAAAATTTCCTTACACAGCGGCCAAACGAACGCATAAAATGTTAAACTTCGCAAATTTTACAAATTTGATCTCTTTAAATTTAAAATTGCCAAGACATAAATATTTGCTTCATTTAAAATATTTTTGTAATAGGAAGTACATGTTTAAGACCACGAAAAAAAATAGGGGGGGGAGGATGAGACAAACAAAATTGAGTACGGCTGGACATGCTGTATACAGTAAATCGATATCGAATACCGACTTGCGTATTTCGCGTTCTCTTGATTGTCGTCATTTAATTCATCTAAAATTTTCAACTGTACGCGGTACGCAGCAGAGCATCGGTTAAGTCTTTCATTACAGAAGTCAGATATTGCTTTATAGAGCAAAACCTCAGCGTTAAAGTTCTTCCAATTTATGTTAAAATAACATGCCGAACAAATATTAATTTAGAGTTGAAACAAAAAAATCTGATGTGTACACCACATGACTTATTTGTACGGAATATTAAATTATACGCATTTTTTCTTGCATTTTATTTAAACTTATTAGATTGAATTAAACCTACTTCGCCGACAGCGCATAAACCACAATACAAATAAATGCATTCTTTAAAATTCACTTGTTTACCATAGCGACACTCTGGCGCGAGGTTTACTAAACAGTATTATATTTCATTCAATTATAACTCAGAATGCACAAAATGTATATCATTTAAAGATTTCTAATCGTTGCCACATGTTCTATTCAAATACTATAATCAGATAGAACTATGATAAAAGAAATTAAAGCAAAAAACAAAAAAAAACAGTTTTTCACAGAAGATTCAGTATTTCTCCTTCATTAATTCAGTTCTCACTTCGCGAGAAGGCAAAAATACATAAAAACTCAAAATATCTAAATTAAAAATTACGAAGTAAATCTCAAACGCTTATTTCCTCGAAAAAATTCCAGAAAGAATTAAGCATGATTTAATTGGCAATAACAAATGAATGCGTTATCTTTGTTGTTGCGAAGCTAAGTTTCCCTAGATAGGCAACAAATCCACTAGTCTCCTGTTTCAAATGTAAACATCAATGGCCGCCATTCAAAAAAGGCTTAGCGGCACTTAGACAACTTGATCAACACTAGATCAACAAAATTGTTGATAATTCTAAAAATATTGCATACAGATTTACTAAAGCCATAAAAACCTTAACCGGAAGATAAAAAAACTAATACAATCATTTTTAAAAGCAAAAAAAATGTCAATTTACAACACATAAGAGCAAAACTGAGATCACTGAGCCGGGTACAGAGTGGATATATATATAAACATATTTTATACGTTTGGGTGCGGCTGATTGCAACCAAATACGAGGGAACATCTACATGTTATGGCAGTCTTATATACAAAATTTCAACGTTCTGAGGATACTCGTTCTTGAGTTATGCGAGATACGTACGTACATACAGTGTCTCACAAAGTGATAGGACACTTGTGCTTTACAAAACGAAACTGTAGTAAAATAAATAAAAAAAAAACGTGTAAAAATTTTTTGTGGGTGTGTTTCGTACCTAAATTGAGTAACAATTATTTCATAATATACATTTTCTAAATATTAAAATATAATTTAATAAAAATACAATTGTTTAGAACGGAAAAAAAATGGCTCACATAAGTGATGGACCTTACTTTTCCATCAAATATTATCAAAAATTTTATTTTTAAAAGGTTTTAAATTTTGTTGGATATCCTTTTTACTTTTAAAACATGATTTAATCTTCTTGGGATGGTTTCGACTAATTTTTTTTGTGATTTCTGGAGTGATTTTACCCCATTCTTCTTAAAAAGCACCGATTTTAATTGTTTTTTGAAGAAATGGTGTGTTGCGAATTCTTGATTCCAATTCCTGCCAATATTATCTATGGATTTAAGTTTGGAGATTGTGGTGGTGTTTTTATTATTTCAGGATAGTTATACAGCAGCCAGAGTCTAACGTTCAAAGCAGTGTGCTTGGGTCATTGTCCATCGTCTCATTTTCGTGAAAATTCAATTTGATTTAAAATGTCAATAGACTTGTACTGTCCTTATCTGTCAATAAAAACAAGATTACCAATCCAGCGGCGACATACACCCCCATACCATAACCTCCTCCACCATGTTTTAGTTGGAACAAGTCCTGTTTGCGAATTCTTCCCTGGGTTTCTCCACACCAAGATTCTCCACATAACCAATATATTAATTTTATTCTCTCAGCAAAATAACTTCATTCCAGTAATCAGAATTCTTATTTATTTGGATTTGCAAAAAGCATTTTGAGTTTTCTATTTTTTCACTTACGAAGAATTTTTTTCCTGCTACCGGATATCCAGCAGATCGAATTGCTCTCTAATATCTCAGGATTAACAATTACTCCTATA